GCTTACACTCACTGCACTGTATTGTAAAACTGTGTGGTTTTCAATACAAAAAATTAGATAAAAGAATGGTGATTATGGAGTCGTCTCGAATCGTTGAATTGCGCCAAGAATTTTTGCACAAAGTTAAAATCTATAGAGAGCAGAAAAGAAATCTGATTTACCTGGATGAAACGTGGTATGATACCCATGATGTTGTGCAGTACGGCTGGGTTGACGACAGCAACAAGTGCATTTTAAATGCACCATGCAACCGTGGAAAACGAATCATTATTCTCCATGCTGGCAGTGAAAATGGATTTATACCTAATGCCTAGCTGTTATCTGCCAAAAATATCAAAGAATCATGTGCCGACTATCATGAGGACATGACCTCCGACTTATTTGAAAAGTGGATAGAGCAGCAGTTAATACCAAACATTTCCCCAAATTCAGTGATCATTATGGACAATGTGCCATACCATTCCCGACAGAAAAACAAAATTCCGAATACAGGCACAAAAAAACAAGACATTATTGATTTTATGAAGGATAAGGGAATGGAAATACCACAAAAATCAACCAAAGCCATATTATTGGATCTTATTAAAAGACAAAAATTTGAAAAAGAGTATGTTGTTGACAATCTGCTTCAGCAAAATGGCCATGAAGTATTACGTCTACCTCCCTATTACTGCATTTTTAACCCGATTGAGTTGGTCTGGGCTGCTTTAAAAAAAAAAAGTAAGAAAACATAATCAGACCCCTCAATTAAGTGAATCGCTATTGGCCACAATAAGAGATGCAATATCTCATATTGCTGCCACAGACCTATGGAAGCAGTGTTCTAGGCATATTATTGAAAAAGAAAATGAATATTGTGTTTTGCCTCCTGTAAATCCCGTTGTAATTCCTCTACAAGATGACTCTAGCGACAGCTCCGAAGGCGAGGATGATATATAAATACCTATAATGTAAGTCTTTATATACCTTTTTATATACCTACCTGCTATGTAAATATTTGCCTATGTCAAACGTTGGAATTCTGTAATTTTTCCATTTCTTAACTTTCAGTCAACATAAATTAAACTCCCAATATAAGTATTTTTTATCCCAAATCAAAAAAATAAGAAGATAGTAAAATCCATTTATTGTGATATAAAAACATTATTATTATCGTTCTAAATAAATGCCGCACGCCTATGATACGTCATGAAATTACAAAGGACGCGCCGACCAAAGGTTTTTATGCTATTTCAAGTGACTTCAGATACACCATACATAGCAACGAGACAAACACACAAACTATTTTGCTTTCGCCGCTTTGTCGCTCTGCAATTTTTAAGATGAATCGTCAAAAATTTATCGATTTTGTATTTACGAGGCACAGTTTATGGGATCAAAAAGACCAAAACCACCATAATCGGTATATTTTGGATGAATTTTGGGATGAGGTTACAAAGAAAATAAATGGTACACGTAACTACATTTTAAAAATAAGTTCGAAAATCTCAGTTAAGTAAATATTTTTTTAACTACTAAGTGACTAAAAATGTTCCTATCAGTGCTTTTGTTTTTATTTTCAGACAACGTAAATAAACCTGTTACTTACCTTAAAGTTATAATTAAACGTTCTTCTGGTCCTATTGGAGTTAGATTAAAATTGGTCCAATTTTCTGTTAATTTTCACCTAGTCGCGTTTTACTTGTCGCTTTACTAGACGTTCGCAACGCAAAGCTAAAGCGGCGCGATGTCCCGCTGTTTGCTCGTCGCTATCCTCGTCGCTCCACTATGTTTTCAGCCTTAGATTGAGGACCGAAATAGGTGAATGTCAGTGAGGAAGAGTAATTGAAAGTGCAAATCATATAAGAGAAACATTTATGATTGCAGAAAGGGTGAATGCGAGAGAAAAAGTGATCACCAGTAGTTGACGCTTAAGGTAACAGCTCAGAGCAAATCGTAAAATTAACAGCTACGCGGTGGATATTTGGAACGAGTGGGCAAGTACGAGTATGATAGTAGTCTGAACGGGTGACCCGATACTCTGCTACGACGGCATGTATTTTCCTTTTTTATTCATGCTTGTTTTTATATTATGTTTGTGTTTTGTATGTTAAAGGTGCAAGGCGGGGAATAATAGTATTGTATCAGAATTATTTCTTGAATTTTGATACTAGATCCGACATACACACTGATGGGGCTTTGTGTTGGATTTCTGATACACACACATAGGGTTTTCTTAGTATCAGCAATCCATGATATTGTTTTTTGTACTTGTGTCTATTTGCTTTTCAACATTTGTATAGTGTTCCTCTGTAATTGGGTCTTGTATCTGTTGGGAAATATATGAATAAAAATAAAATTAAATAAAAATATACTGCTTTCGCCGTTTTGAAAATATAGTGACTTTGATTCATTATCACATCCCAAAATAGCCCGCAGAACTATTAAGGAGAATGGCTTCCAGCTATATTATACAGGGCCATTACAGCGTGTTATGGATTCGGCTCACAGTATGTTCCTAATAGCTGTTTGACATCTATTTACGTTCTCGTCATCACGCTTGGTCGATGCAGTCGATGCACTGTACTACTTACTACTCTAGACGCCGTCAACTGATTATTGAATAGATCAGCTACAGTGATGTGATGTATAGTTGTAGTTACCGTTCTTGGCGGGTCAAAGTAATACTACCAGTATCCCTTTATATATCTCCATCTCCCTTATACATACACATGCAACCTACCCCTGTGCACGAACGTTTGTTCGGTAAGATCAAAGGCATACGTTTTTTAGTTGTGTGGGACTACTTGCGTAGGACTACCGCATACCATAGTCCATAGAATCCTACAGGAAAATTTGCTTTATCCCTACCATGTACAACGAGTGTATAGTCAACGCCAAACAAAGTGGCGTGCACGTCATCACGATAAAAATTCCCCGACCTAATGCCTAGGTTTCTATCACAAACCATTGCTCTATTGCAGTTTCATATTAATGTGATATATAAATTGTAAAATGGTCATTACTCTCTTATTATGGTTAATAGTCATATAAACATTGTTATTAAAATATCACATAAGTTGTTTTCTGATAAATTTAGACGCATTATGCGAAATAAAATGTTTTGCAAACGCTCCAATCACTTATCGACATGTAAACGCACTAAACCGATTTCGCAGCGTTGACACATTGTCACCTTGAAACTTATTTAAACTGGGAACTGACATTTGTATTAATTTTGACACTGAATCAATTTGTGGCATTTCAAATCTTTATAAATCCTTTGGCCCTGCATACTGTAAATCAACAACTGTTTGTTTCAAAACAAAATTATTCATTTTACGAGTAGATAAAGGCAATTTTGGTATATAAAGATGCCCAAACAGTTAAATAATCGGTGTAAGGAACTCGTGTCCTCGTTAATGCACTACTTTGAGCAAGAAAGGGACAACAACGGGCCTTTGTTGCCTTTAAATGCTGTTCAAGAGGTAGGTTACTAATAATTATATGTAATGTATATTAATAATAGTGAAATTTTATTTCATTTTTTGTAGCGTGTTGCTGCTGCTTTAAAAATTAGTTTAAGGACAGTTAGTCGTATTTGCGAGGGTGTGAAAAGTGATGCTAATTTAGAATCGCCCAAGAAAAAGCGGAGTTATATTAAACGTATAACCAACACAGCGACATTGGATACAAGTGCCATTCGAGAAGTGATCTTTAGTACATATGTATCACAAAAGTAAGATCTTATTATAATAACTTATCAGAAATTTGCATTAATTTGTTAACTAAATTATAATGTCATATTACACATGGTTTCGGAAGAACAAGTTACGATACAAACTTTATGGTCTCGATTAAGAGATAGGGCATTATTTGATGGTAGTGCCACGTCTTTAAGGCGGTTGCTTAGAGATCTTGGATTTAAGTGGCTTAAGGACAATCCGCGACGAGGGCTCATGGAACTACCAAGTATAGTTTTGAAAAGGGTGGAATTTCTAAGGCAATACAATCCAAGGTTGAGGCCTTATACCAGTTTGTCTTCCTCGATGAAACTTGGATATTTCAAAATGGGACCATAGGTCGCTCTTGGCAAAATGGAAACCAAAAAAGCGTGAAAGCTATTAAAACAGATGGTAAAAGGTATGTACTTTTACACAATTTGCACTATAAAATTTAAAACTAATATATTTTAGATACATTATATTACATGCTGGAAATGAAAATGGGTTTATTGAGGGTAGTGAAGCGATATTTTCTTCGAAAACAAAATTGAGCGATTACCATGGAGAGATGAACCAGGACAATTTTTTGAAATGGTTTCAACATCAGTTATTAGAAAAATTGGAGAGTCCATCTATGATTATACTGGATAACGCTCCTTATCACAGCATGATATTGAACAAAGTGCCCAACAATGCATGGACAAAAAAAAATATCCAAGACTGGTTGACAAATCAAAACATACCATTTTTAAACACAATGTTTAAAACAGAGCTATTGAGTATTGTTGCTCGGTACATAATGCTTCTTAATTATATATATATTTTGGTCGACAGTTTATATTTCTTTTGTTTATTCCTATTCTTAAAATAACTGCTTTTTTAGAAACAAACCACCTAAAATATACGTGATTGATGAATTGGCGGAACAACATGGGCACAAAGTTCTTCGTCTGCCTCCTTACCATTGTATATTTAACCCTATTGAGTTAATTTGGGGTATAGCAAAAGGTTACTATAACAGACATATTGGTAGAGATGGTAACAGTGAAAAAGACTGTTTGGATATGTGGAACGAGGCTCTACAAACGGTTACCCCAGACATGTGGAAAAATAGTGTTCGACATACTGAGCAAGAAATTTTTAAATGGTATGAAAGAGAACGAATTTTTGATCGACCAGACATCGAACCTTTAATAATCAACTTTGAGAGTGATGAAGATTCAGATTCAGACAGCGCTGAAGAAAGAAACTCCGACTAACTTTATTGTACAGAAAAAGCTTACACCAGTAGCTTACCTAATTTTAGAATGCATTTTTCTGTATGAATTCTGTAAAATAAATACCATGCATAAAATTTGGAGGACCCCATTTGGATTTTTATTCAGTACCTTTAAGCTATCAATTAAATATGGTAGTTTCATAGTGTCATCTGATCAATAATTGTCATACTTAATGATTATGCAAGTACAGATCTATAATTTTATTATACTATTATTTTTGTTCTCATTTGAGGTTAATATTGCTTATAAACCTAGATATGTAAATAATAAATTTTATTATTTTACAAAAAGTTTGGCAACAATGTAAATTTTTCAACACACCCACCTTGATGACGTGTACGCCACTTTGTTTGGCGTTGACTATAGCTCTTGTTACCAGAAGACTATCCTCGCAGACTAACATTCTGTCAGTGGTTTTTGCACAAAACCATTGAAAATCCGAATTTTTTTAAAACATTCTAGCGCCGGACGAAAGTATTTTTACGCGAGACGGGATATTAAATTTCCATAATACTCACACGTAGGCCTAAGAAAATCCGCATACCATTCATGAAGGTCATTTCCAACAACGTTTTAAAATAAATATTTGGGCGGGTATTCTTGACGATCAGGGAATTGGCCCTTTCGAGTTACCCCCAAAGTTGTCAGGAGAAGGATACCTTAGCTTCCTAACCAATAACCTACCAGAACTTTTGGAATAGACAACATGCCATTACAACGGAGACAGAATTTGTGGTTTCTTCATGACGGGGCACCACCACAGATTTTTAGAGGCGTCATTCAGTATTTGAGTGAACATTATCCAAATCGCTGGATCGGTCGAAATGCTCCTGATCCTCGAAAATGGCCAGCAAGATCTCCTGACCTCAATCCGATGGATTTCTGGTATTGGGGAGAACTTAAAGGGGTGGTTTATGGGGCTAGTCGTAGATCAACTGAAGCACCACTTCGCGAAAAAAAAATTAATGCGGCTGTAATAATAAATGGACAACTTCGAGGACCTAGAGTAAGAAGAAACTGGGTTCATTGTAATGAAGCTTGTTTGGAAAGTGGTGAACGACATTTTGAACACCTTTAAATACAAAATACCAGAACTTTTGGAATAGACAACATGCCATTACAACGGAGACAGAATTTGTGGTTTCTTCATGACGGGGAACCACCACAGATTTTTAGAGGCGTCATTCAGTATTTGAGTGAACATTATCCAAATCGCTGGATCGGTCGAAATGCTCCTGATCCTCGAAAATGGCCAGCAAGATCTCCTGACCTCAATCCGATGGATTTCTGGTATTGGGGAGAACTTAAAGGGGTGGTTTATGGGGCTAGTCGTAGATCAACTGAAGCACCACTTCGCGAAAAAAAAATTAATGCGGCTGTAATAATAAATGGACAACTTCGAGGACCTAGAGTAAGAAGAAACTGGGTTCATCGTAATGAAGCTTGTTTGGAAAGTGGTGAACGACATTTTGAACACCTTTAAATACAAAAAAAGTGCAGTGTGGGTTTTAAAAAGAAAAACAATGTATCTATCAAAATTGTGTTCCCTATTTATAAGTGGATTTTTTAATATGTTCAATAAACATTCACACACCAGGTGAAGTGCTGAGACAGTAGTGGTAAGTCCGTTTTTTTTTAATTGTTTGCATTTTACGAGTACATTATCAAATAATGAAATAATACCTAAGAGCCAAAAATAACAAACTCCATCATTATTTACCCCGCCTTCCGTCGTAATTTGAGCCTGGCATTGCGGCGTTGTCAGATTTTGTTTTACTTTAAAGTCGCTTTTCTCTAAAACAATGCCGTTTTGACCCCCATGTTCTATGAAACTTTTTGCTTCTTTTAACCCCCTCTATCACCCATTTAAATAATGACTATCATAACATTTACACCTTGTAGATGTTTCTGTTTACTCTTTTTCAGATAATTCAGTCAGGGGCTTGATTCTAAATGAGTTTCGACCGTTGAAATTGATTTCGATGGCGCCTGGTGACGATATACTTGATTCGCTATGATAATTTTGACATCTGATTATACTGGTCTTACATATTCAAATCATCATGTCAGTGTCAAAATTGCTAATCAAGTATATCGTCACAGGGTGCGATCGAAATCAATTTTAACGGTCGAAACTCATTCAAGCCCCTGGTTTTAAGGATCGGCCGAAGTGTGTTTTGATTAGTATCGAAACGGGATTGTTTCCTTCTATAACTCTATAAATCATGGGGTTGGTCTAAACGTTGACATTCAAAACAACCAGCCCATTGAAAACGTGCACTTTTGAAAACCAATTGCAAAAAAACATCGATATTTTCCGTGTTTGCTACAAAAGATTGATAAAATCAAAGAGCTCATTTTTTCTATGCAGCTCCTGATGATGAATGTAACTGTCTACAGAATTGTCGGTGAAATATTATCATAAGGGGAATATTGATGGTCGAGCAGTGGCTGTTTGTTGGCCGTGCAAATTGAATTCGATCCCCTGCAGAAAAACATGTCCATGGAACATTCAAATACCATCTGGTGTATGTGCATGTGTTGGAAAAACTGCGTGTGTAATACGAGAATAAATGATGAAGTCAGATACATTGGCTCAAGAACTTCTGCGCAGTGATACAAATCTAGAATATTCAAAATTCTAGTTACAGACACGGTATGCTAAGAACGAAAACAGTACACTCTAGGAAAAAACGCAAGAGTAATTTCTTGTGGCTAATTAAACGTAAAATTAGACAAATTGCGCATTTCAGAAAAAACTGTAGCGTACTATTTTTATTTGGACAAATAATGCCACTAGTCCCTTGTATCTCCGCCACTGGTGTTTAGTTCATTTCAGTTGACGGTTTTGAAGATATTAAAAAAAATGTTTTTTATTCTCAAACTTCAACATCCCATGTCTTCTTAATGAAGCTCTCCAGGAAAAAACGTTGCATAGAAGAATGCGGTTCTGCGTATGATGTTCCATTTTTGGTCACAACTTGTGAATCACCCTGTATAGTACATTTCTGATATAATTCACCCCATTTAGAACCCACTTCCTCTTCAATTTTCGAAAGTATGTGGAGCTCAAGCAATGTGTCCGCCTCTTCAAATGTCAATCACCGGCAAGTTTTTGCTTTTAGGATTAACGATTACTGAAAGAGTTCACGATCTACCAAATATTTTGCACAAATCTACCGAAAACAGATCGACTATACCTTCCATCACTGGTATAGAGAGCAATCAACAATACCTGCGTATAGAATGCAGAGTAATGTGAATTGGTTCAAGCACCATGCCATGAAACACATCACGATGCCGGAGGCGACAGCCTGTTAAAAACTAGGTTCTGCCAACGACAACTTGAGTAGGATTCCTGTTGCTGACAACTGTTACTGTGACACTTAGGGATATGCGATTTACATACTTCTACTTTTGTTTGTGGTTATATTCAATATAAAAAACTATCTAGGAATTACCTTGCCTAAATGCATGTGGGCAAATTCCTTGAGTCTGTAGCTTGACAGCTAACATTCGTGACGACAGACTAATGAAGCACTACCACCCATGAAAAAAAAATCTGAACGCCCATGGAATCAAGTAGGTCACGCGCCAAACAGTTGAGGAAATGAATACCAAAACATGACTTGGAATGCCACCTGAAAGAATGCATATGGTGTCAATTTGAGTAACAGAACCGAATGGGCAGATTATACTCTCTTAACTACTTTCTAGTAGGACCTATGGCGACGTCTTCTAAATGGCGACAACTAAGCCACCGTAAGTGATAATTTCATTATAGAAAACGACACTTTTCAACTATACTTGCACCCTCTATCAGCAGTACACCACCTTCTTATACACTTCTACCTCCAATTACCTCTGAGTGTTAAATAATGAAGAAAATGTTTTATTAGCCCCTTATTTTGAAAATCTAAAAATCGGCAAAAACACTTCTCAAAATTCAGCAAAATATTGTAACTGAAATTACACATAAAAATGATAATAATAATAATAATAATGAATTGCTTTTATCGCTCATGTAAGTACAGAAAAAGAAAAAGTACATAAATCTGAGCAAACGGCAAGGTTCGCTTGATTGACAACCATTAGTTGTGAATCCGCGCTCTTCCACCTAACCAAAAAAAAAAGTAGTATATCAGTAATAATAACAGCAAGAGAATAAACGTTAACACAGATACAAATGCTACTTTTCTTTCAAAATTGGGTTTGCTACTATTATACCTGTATATAAAATATGTACATTTGCAATCAATTTCGTGTATTATCACTTAAACAATGTTAAACTATTGACATCCAACAATCCCTTTCAGTATCAGACGTTATCACAATCGCTTCCAACTGCAGCTGTTCGAGGCAGCCTCATTTCGGACCCCTTCTGCCTTTTGTGCCGTAGAATTTACTTAGCTATTGGCCGCTGATATAGCAATTTCTTTCTATCCCATAGACACCGCAATGCACAATGAAAAAGTACTTTTAAATGTTGTGAACCTCTCCGCCGTTCCACATAATTATCGTACGCTCGAAATAATGCTATAGCTACTTAATTTCTTACACAAGTCTTGACTGATGCTGTTCGACTACTTTTACACACACTATACAGAGCTGGAAATACGTGAGATTTCTGATTTGCGAACAACCGTAGTTATCCTGGTATTTTTGACACGTCTGACTTCTTGCAATTTTGGTACAATGCGCTCAGCATTCCCATCAGTGATATCACTATGCATTTTTAGTATAGTTGGTAAAAGTCACTTTCTTCAGAACGTGTTCAAAGAATGGTACGAAGTCACTTACACCCCCCCCCCCCCTGAGGTGAACACATGCATACACCACTGATTAAAAGAAAAAACGCCGAACCACGTCAAAATATTTGTCCAGGCAGACAATTATTAAGCTAAAAAATACTTCACCCCCTTTCACCCTCCTCACCTTGTTACTAAATTACTCAAACTTGATCTGTTGCAAATTAAAAACATGATAATCGGAGAGTTTTGGATGAAGCCGATCAAGTTCAAATTTTGAGTTATTTTGAAATAAATCCT